CACCTAGGAGGCAAAGGTATCTGAAAATGATTGGATCTGATGACCACTCTGTGGGATAGAGTCAGTCTGGATGTGAAAGACAATCTGCTACCAGATTGAAAGCACCTGGCACATGACATGTGAGAAGAGGATTGTGACTTGCCTGGGCCCAGTATAGAAACAAAGATCTCTAGACCAGGTGCTTTCTTGGTGGTTGATATGAGCCACCACCGTAGATTTGTGAGAATGAACCATCACCAGACAGATGGACAAGAGAAAGGAAGTGAGATAACAACCAACAAACTACCAGAGTTTGAGAACATTGATATGCTAGATGAGTTTGTTGTAGACCAATGGCCTGAAGCTTTGTGGCCTGAAGGGAAGCGTCCATGAACAGATGTACATCTGGATTTGGAGCAGGAAGTGCCACACCCGCTGACATATGGGCTTTGTTGAGCCACCAAAGAGATCGACTCTGAGGGAACGAGGAACAGAAATGGTGGTGGAAAGAGGATCCTGTGCAAGGTTCCATTGTTTGTGAAGTGTCCACTGCAGGGATCTAATATGGGCATGACTGAGGGGGACCAATGCAGTCATGGAAGATCACATCCCCAGAATTGATAGAACCTCTCGAGCAGTGAGTGACCGTGCTAAGAGGGCACAGTGAACTAAATGTTCCATAGAACTGAGGCATAAAGGCAAAGAGAGAGCTCGGCTGATGTTGGTATTGAAGAAGGCCCCCAAACGTTCTAAGTATTGAGTGGGTTAAAGGACTGACTTTTCCCATTTTATCAACCAGCCCACTCGAGCTGCCACAGAAAAGAGTTGGTGAGTATGATTGGTTGACTCCTGTTCAGAATGAGCTAGAATTTGCAAGTATGAATATGATGAGCAAAGACCTGAACAACATGACAAAATACATATGGAGCCGAGGCAAGTCTGAAGGGGAAGGCCTGAAATTGGTAAACCACCCCAAGATGAACAAACCAAAAATAAAGACGGAATTGAAGGGCTATCAGGATGTGGAGATAGACATTGGAAACATCCATTTTTATCATCCATAATCCTAGGAAAAACAGCCATCTCAGGGTGAGAAAGGACTCCACAGTGAACTTAGAGAGTGTGATGAAGAGTTTGAGGCACGACAAATTGTTAACCAGTTGCCAATCCCCAGTTTGCTTGGGGACTACAAAATGATGGGAGTAAAACCCCTCCAAGGGATGGTGAACCGGTTTGATAGTCCACTGCAAAAGAAAATCTTGAACTGCCTATGAAAGATGCTGGTGAGTCAGGATCTTGAGGAGGAAAGGAAATGGAATGAGGAGAAATGGGAGATGGGGAAAGAAACATTTGAAGGAGTCCCTCTGAAAGACCCTTTGTCATCCATTGATCCTCAACAAAGGGGAGCCAATGAGGAATAAAATCCAACAAATGAGCTCCCACAGGCCCCGAACCCACCACAAAAGCTGAAAGGGTGGACTGTTGTCAGGCAGATGTTAGCCACGGCTCAGTATCATCAGGGATGGTGTCAAAGACATAATGTCAAAGAAAAGAAGCATGACATAAATCCCTGAGATAAGTGGAGGGTAAATTAACATGAGCCAGAATGGAGTCCCTACTGATAAGATCTCAACAACAAAGAAACCACGTATGTAATGACAGAGCCAAAGAAGAAATATGGGCCAAAGAGGAAGATAGAAGGTGAAGGTTATCAGCAGAATATCCCTCAGGATTTCTGTGGAGAGCCTCTGAGAGGAGATGTATAGAAGACAGATACCAGAGAAAGGTAGTGAGAGTAAGACAAAGGTGAGAATATTGGACATGTGAGACTAACATTGGATTTGGGAGCTGCCCCTAAAGAGGTAATAAGGATCCCAACAGCTGGTGATCTAAAAATGGATATTGCACCCAATGGTAATCAAGGTCGGACTGATCCTAGACTCTTGGGGTGTGTGGCATATTGATCACTTCATCTAATGGAGAGAAAGTGATCAACATGGACCCAAACATCAGGAGAGGGAGGAAGTAACAAAAATGATTGAGAAAAATGCTCATACAACAAAGAAGGGTGAGGGGAATAACAAATAGGGGAAAGAGACAAAACATCACAAACCTGAGATACAAAATCTGTGAAAGCTGAAGCTGTTCTAGGTGAATCGTCAGGCTGGAACTGGGAAGAAACAGCAAATTCAAGAGGAGGAGAGAGACAACCAAAATAGTCTTCATGCTGAATAATGTCAGCAGACTCTGAAGGAGCTCTGGCAACATCAGGGGACAAAGGGTGATCCAAGTAGCATTTAATCTCCCGACGGACAAAATCAAAAGATCCACAGTCAGGTCACCCACACCTGATAGCTGAGATAGAAGATTGGCTATTGGTATGACTCCTGAAATGGTAACATTGACTTTGGAATTAGTAACTATGATAATGTATAACAAAAAGAAAAAAGAACCATTTCAAATGAAAATAAAAAATGTGTCACACGAAAAGCATGAAGCACAAAAGAAAACATTTGTACTCGAAAGCTGCCAAATGTGAAGTGAAGGTTTGGTAGAGGAGTGTAGAGGGAGTCAAATGTGCCATATGAGCATCTATGCTGCTATTAGTTAATAGATGACGCATAATGATTTGCATCAGAGTTGCATTGGAATGTACTTATTCCAACAAGGCTTGTTGCATGCATAAAGAAAATATTCGCATATAGAGGGCAGCACTGAACGACAATAGCTAATCTTGTGAGAGGAAGTAAATACCATTTTACTTCAACTTTTAAAGCTTTGGTGATTGGGTAGGGAAGCTCATGAATTGAGGGTCATAGATTCGATTCTGATTTTTACCAAATTTGCTCACCCTGTCTTTGTTAAGGCAAAGCATCTGAGGCTGTCACTTTCACTAATTTTTAACTTTTTACTACAGGAAAGACAACTGGCCAGGAGCACCTGCTCCCAACATCATTTTTGCTTATATGTTCAATGGCTTGAGAAATGATGTACTAATTGATTAGCAACTAGCACTAATTGCACTGCTCTACTACTGAGAAAAATGCTTTCCATGTTGATGTTCACATTTTTGAATTGGTCTCTTTTAGAATTCATTCAGACAAGTCCAGTTCAATGCCTATTACTCTGGCACTGGATTCTGCATAGGCTGTATTTTATCTCAACACACAGTATTGTTGTGGGGTAGGTATGTTAACTTCCTTGTTTCAGAGCTCAGCATCCAGTGATCTGATTGTCTTTTATTGTGTCAATCTTCATTTCCATCCTCTTTCTCTCTTGGTGTGGGTATTCTGATTTATAGTATTTTAGAGGTAGATCTACCTAATTTGACTTTTACATATTTATAATTGTAATGGATTTCAAACAGGTACCTAACTCTGATATACATTTTCACCCACCTTTCCACAGTCAGGAGAAATGACATCATGAGGCTAACAATCTGGATTGTTGTAGGAAAACAGTCCTTTTGAAGTTTCTCTGTCACTTGTGTAAGAAATCACACAGAAAGTGGGAGAGTAGAGAACTTTGGCTAAGGTAACTCATGTAATTCATTGTAAAAGACTTCCAGAACTAAAAGATACATGGTTATTGACTCAAAAAAAACATTTACAGTATTTCTGAGGTATGTATCTGCTTGAAACTAACTTTAATTCTAAGAATATAAACATTTCTAAATTTAGTTTTTTACCTTAGAATTTGACCAATATAAATCCGTTTCCCTTATGATTAAAAAATTTTTTAGCTTGGTTTCTAAGTAGCTTTAAACTTCGAACAGTATACATCTATTTATAATCAAATTTGATTGTTTTATTGCTGTCTATGACACTTAATCCTACTTTTTTATACTAATGGTAGTAATGCACTAAATAACTGTTATTTAATTAAATAATGCATCAAAGAACATAGAATAATAGCATGCAAAAAGTAGACAATTTTCCCTGACTATTACAATTTCTCTGACTTTTTAACTATGTGACAAGAACCATTACAAAATCATCAAAGCTAGTCATTATCTTTCCCTTGGGAATGAAGCTTGTACTAACAGTGAAATTGACAATTCTCCATTAAGAAAGTGTTACATAATACATCATTTGATAGTTATAAACCTTGGCTTTCTATTGGTTATAGATAATATAGAATTAAAAGTAAGAGAAAACTATTAACGAATCTTGAAAAAGAGGATGTGACAGGTAGGTGAGGCAAGAGAGGTCTGATTTTCTATTTGTTGGCTCTGTAACCAAACAAAATTGAAGGCTATAAAAATTGTGGTTTGTCTGAGTAATGAGAATTTTATAGTGAGTAATTTACAGTGAATTTCATACTTACTGGAGGGTTGATGGATAAAATGGAGAAGAGAAGATGCCTAGAGAAAATGTCACACTAGGGGAAATTCAGGATTTTTTTAAATATTGCCTTATAAAATTATGAACTTAAAACTTATATACTATTAAAATATGGATTATTAAATAAGATTTTATGCTATACTAATTGCTATAACATAAACAAAAGGTAGATTAATAAAATGTTTAATGTAAGTCATTAAAACCTCTTGACATGTGCAGCAAAGGATGCCCATGGCAATAGGGTTAATTAACTACAAATTACTGTATTATCATAAAGTACATATGATTTTATTTACTTTATTAACTTTAAAAAAAATGTATTTTGTATTTTTCTTTTGCCACTTGTACATTTATATCCAAACATACTTTGTGCTAGACTTGTGTGTAATTAGAGAAGTATAACATGAAAATATTCAGAAATTGTTATTTTAACATGAATATTATTAAAATTTTGCTCAAAGTTTCTACATTATTTGCTGTTGGTCTTTTTCCAGTATCTTTTGGAATTTTGAGATACACTGTAGTTAACTAGAACAAATTTAATAAGGATTTTATTCTTCACCAGTAATAGAAGGGAATTGCATTGAATGTTTAATGAATAGCATTTTCTAATTGGTATGTGTTTTTCATTTTAGAATAGAAATTTGTTCACTTATTTCATTGGGTATATATTTTCAGTTGAAGATATTTTATAAAGAACATCTGCACTCTGATGAAGAGGTTCGATTCTTTTTGGATGGTAGTGGCTATTTTGATGTAAGGGACAAGAATGATAAATGGGTGAGGATTCAGTCAGAAAAGGGGGACTTGCTTGTTCTTCCTGCAGGAATTTATCATCGCTTTACACTTGATACAAATGTAAGTATAAAGGTTATTTCATAATATTTTAAAAACTGTCATGTAGAAAGTAAATTGTTCCATCACATATTATGGTCAAAAAGACTTCTTGTAAAATTTGATAGAATGAAATCTAGAGTTCATTGATTATATTGATTATTTAATAAATTTGTCTAGCACTATTGGTCAAACAAGACCACATAGTAAGGTCAAGCTTTTTTTTATGCTCCTTGATAATCTATTGGATCTTCCTATGCTACTTAGTATTGCCTAACATGAAGCTGAGGACAATATTTCTTTACAATTAGGCTGTTTGTCAATTGCCAATGCCATAAGGAAACCTGTTATTAGTTAATTGTAATAGGTAATGGAGTAACTACTGTAACATCTGGTGGGTCTACCACATCAATTAAACATCTTAATTAATCATCGAATAATTGAATAAATATACGCACACAATTTCACTTAGATTTAACTGAAAGTTTTCTTTTATTGTTGTAAAATGTCTTTCTTTCTTTCTCACTTAATGTGAATATCATTAAGTATGGTAGTACTTAGTAGTAGGGATTGGCCATAAAAATCACCCATTTAAAGCCAACTTTAAAATGTCTGAATATTAACAATGACTATTTTACAGTATTGTCTGAGCAAAACTAAAGCCTAATATATGTGTTTATAGAGTGAATCAAAATTTCACAAGCATACAGAAAAAATGACAAACCTTATTGCTCTAATTCTTTCACAGAACTCTTCCATCTGGTGTCAAGACAGTTCACCAACAGTCTTCTCTGCTCACTCTAGTTTCCAACATATTTAGGTCCAAGGAGATCCAGCAGGATTTTAAAACTTGTGAGCCTAGTTGGGTCTCTTCCCCTGTTGAGCCAGTCATCGAGGGGCTCAGAGGTGACTATTTTTGTGGAAGCATTGCTCTTATAATTCTCATTTCTGAATTCCTTTACAGAAGAACCTTGAGTCACAGAAGTGCTCTCTTAGTGGCTTTCTCTGTATCAATCTCTTTAACCTACTCTATTCTTATTTTCAACCCCCACTGATCTGTTGCATCTTTGGTGCCTCAATGAGGCTGTAGCTATGTCCTCTCTCCAGACAGTGAATGCAGTTTAACAGGTCCTTGACCTCACATTGGGGTTTTACTCTTGTCTTTTTGTAGTTCCCTAAAAAGACAGGCATCCAATCAGAGATGTGTTGCTATTGGATCAATCTATTGGCATTTCTTGGTTCAAGATGGAAGGCTTCCTTGATTTAAGGAGGATGATTTCTTCAGAGTTATGGGTGACCGAGGCCAACATTTTAGATGCTTTTCTTCATTTTGCTATTTATCTGGCTGCTCATTGCTTCTTTTGTTTCATCCACAATGATTGGACCCTTCCCTTCAGATAAGCTGATGGTTTTTGTACTAATTCGGTCTGCATTTCCACATCTGTATGGATAATTGGCTCCTCTTAACTTTGTACTGGGATGCATCCTCTTCCATGACTAGATTCTACGTATTTGGGTTGGTTGATCAAGATCTCAAAGTCAGTATTTGACCGCACTCAGTATCTAATTAATTTGGGGTTTTTACCAGTTTGTTTACTTGGTAGGCCAGACTTCTTCACATCTCTAAGATATGGAGTTTCTGGTTTCTAAAACTTCCATGTCTCCTCTTCTTGCACAAGTGGTTCACACTAGCCTATTTAGACATTCCTTATTATTCTTTTGTGAAGGATCTATTTGCATCCCTGTCAGTAGACTTTAGCAGATCAGTCAATTTGTCCAGAGATCCATTGACTTCTCTCATTTTTCTCTTTCCATCCCTTCACCTCTTGCTGTTGTTGTGGCTCAACTGATCCCACGCATTCTTCTTCCTCCAAACTGCCTGGCCTTGCATCTATTAATGAATGCCTCTGCTCTGATGGATGCATTTCTGAATGCCTTTACCATTTCAGTATTTAGTGTTCATAGGAGTTGTCTTTGAACATAGGGGTGTTGCAAAATAAATCACACTTTTTTCCCCCGAAGTAATGATGAACTTGGGAGGACCATGAATATCATCACTTGTGAGAAAATGTCATTTCAATGTACTCTTGAGTGTTTGACTTATCAAATTTAATTTTTTGCAAAAACTTCTGAATCATGGTGCTCACTAGAACTCAGGTTCGTGTTGCATGTGCTGTCTTCGGAATGGCTCAGAAACTAGTCGCAGACATGCTCCAAGAATTCAAATCTTCCAATCGACACATAGCAATACCGGATTTGATAAATCTGATTAATGCCTAAAAAGTTTCAGAATTGTTGAATTTGAAAGAGTGGTCCATGAAAAAGTGGTGGAATGTTGATTGGGAACTGTCCAGATTTAAATCCCACCGAAAATGTCAGAGCTTTCTTTCAACAATGCACAGAAGAAATGTTGGAAACTTTGCCTGAATGCGAAAGACACAAACATGAAACCTTGATTCGTGTTCTCACTGATGTGCTTGCTCACAGAGACAGCCACAAAAACAGACATGTTTGTTACATTGCTGATATCTTTTGCAAATTGATTAATACTTGTGCGTGAGAATAGTGGTGGCCCAATCAAGCAATATTGATGTTTAGAATTACTTTTTTGATTGAATTAAAATCTTATTTTACTTTGTTATGCTCTCAGGGAAAAAAGTGTGATTTACTTTGCAACACCACTTAATGTCCTCAAGAGATTGATAGTTCTCACATACCTGCCATTTTCTGTCCATGGTTTCCACTGGTTAGGGTAACCAGGAAAAGTCATTGAATTTTATGTTTTGTGTTTGCATTCTCCAAAACATAAGGGAATTTAATTTTACAAACAAAAACTGGGAAGATCCTGCAAATTTCATGTGATTCAGTGATGCTTTTAAGACATGAATGGTGAGAAAAAGAAAATTATCATTAGTGCCAAAAAAATTGCAAATAGATTAATTCGGGAGTATTTAGCATGTCAATATGTGTATTTGATGTATAAACTTTGTTGTATCTAAATTTATCTATTCTGTTTACAGTTAATTGTTATGAATTATGAAGTTAGCTGTAAACAGTAGCTAGATCCCCACCTAAACAGTGTAAAGTCTTCTGACAAAACTTCGTCTTGTCTTCCTAAAACTAGTTCAAGGAGGAGCATTTTACTGCAGTCTAAAAGCTCTTAACAAAATACTGTTTAAAGATAGACTGTCTATTGAATATGTTAATTTGGTTTGACACATGTTAGGGCATTAATAAAAGTCCCCAGGCCAGTAGTAATAGAAGAAAGTATAATACCCAAGGATATATTACCTCATTGACATATTTGCACAAAAACAATTTTAAATATGTCAAAATTATAATTAACAATTTATTTTGATAAAGCCTGGCAGTTTATAGATAAATAGATCTATACAGTTTTGGTGAGTTTTCTCTTTATTTCATATCTTGTTTTATACTTATTCAATTAATTAGAAAAGAAAATCTAATAATTATAAACAATAATAATTTATCAGTAATTTTGTTTTATTTCATTATGACAAAAATATATGTCACTAAACCTTGGCTATAATACAAGAAGTCATGATGTGCAGGACAGCTTTGGCAGGGGTCATTGACAGGGATATCTCCAAGAGATAGGTAGATATCGCAAGTGATTGTTAAGGAAAGCCCATATAAAGCAAAATATAGATGGTATAATATCAGTAATTTTAATATAACAACAAATTTGGGGAAAACATCAAGACACAGTATTGAAATACTGATTGTTTCATTGAGAGCATCTAATAATGTAGCACATACAGTGAAGGTAATTCTTCATTCTCTCCGATTTCCCTTCTTTCCATCCTTCACCTTTAGTTTGATCTGATCAGGATAGGCTTCTACATCCTGTACATGCTGTTCGTTGTAACATTCCCTGCATGGCTTCCTTCCATGGATCTTGTTTCATCCCCTGGCAACATTATTCTGGTTAAGACCTTTTGATTCGATTGGCTTATTCCTCCTTGTTTCCTTTTTCCTGAAGTCTGTTCCAGGTGTTGTCACATCAGATCAGGCATCTTACCTTTTCCCTGGCATCTTATCTCTGTCGTCCATTGGAGGAAATTCTTCATGCAGGCATGCGGACTATTACTCATACATTCATCTCCCACTATCTGCATTGGGTTGTTGTTCCTTCTTCATTGGGTTACTGTCTTCAACCTGTCACCATCCTTCAGACTTCAGTGAGACTACAAGTTACCTTTTTATATACATTTTAATTTCTTTCAGAGGCATGTCCCTTTTTATTGTCAGGATCCCACTCTGTGGTGAGTATTGCCTGTCCAGGTATACTTAATACATCACAAGTCTGCACTGTACGACCATGGTGCTATAGCAAAATACAATATTCATAGGGTCAATAACACACATTGTTCAGATGGGGTGTTCCACAAGATCACTAGTAGGTTTTCCCTCGCGATATATTTGCTTCATTAATATGCCCATTATGGACCATAATAACCCATGGACTTTCATGGCCAAAGCAGAAGAAAATAACAGCTCATCCCTGCTGTCACTTTGATTGAATAAATCAGGGGTGGGTTTTTGTGGTCACCTGTTGCACAGTCTCTGGTGTTGGCATTCCTCCAGACACTCCACCTCATTTTATCCATCCTTGTTCTACTGGTGGAGTATGCGAGTTCTTGCCACTTTCCAGTTCTGAGCTGCTGGGGTGGTGGGCCATGGAGGTTTCCTCCTAAATGTGTTCTAACTAATAAATAAATACACAACATCCATTCAGTTGAGAATAGGACAATGGTGTTCTGCTGGTGTAGGTGATACAGGTCCTCCATGTGTCCCATTTTTGTACAGTGGGCTCCAAGGGTTGATGCTGTGCCTGGCTCATATGACTATCTGGAGGGTGCAGTTGTGTATCATTTATTGGGGCAATCCATTTCCATGTGATGGTATCTGGAAGTTAGTGATGCACTCCAGTGTTGTACAGTCTTGTTTGAATGTTGATGTTACACCAACTTCTGTGACTATCCAAAAGGCATGGTTGCATATGAGTTATAGGGGCAATACACTTCTGTGCAGTGATGACCGGTAGTTGATGATGTTACGTTGGAGTAGATCCATCACATTGCAGTTCACCCTTTGATTGGGATCCCTCTTCGTACCATCATGTGGATTTTGGTTCCCGGTGACTGGTTTTGGATTTAAGGCAGGACTGATCAACATAAGTCCTCAAACATGTATTGCCTGTGTTTTTCGTATTCCTCACTCAATTTGTCTCATGATCACAAAAAAAGGCAGATAATGTTTAAGGAGGTGGCAGTTCTCCCTCTGGCACTCTTCCTCAGGAAGGTTTTGTGGCTAAGGTTGCTGTGCCACTGTGGAGTGCCTATTGGATTTAGTTTGAATATGATGTGACCTCTCGCAGGGGAACATCTCTTACTGCCACCATTCGGATGTTGGGTTTTCAGGATGTATGGTTAGTTGTGGATGGTGCACCTGCGCCTGCTTCGTAGATAAGTTTGCACAGAATGTACTTCTGTTCTCCTGAACTTGAGGTAAAGATGGTGTGGACCCTCCTCCTACCACGGATAAGAGATTACATTCCCGATACCACTTGGTTTTGGACTGGAGTTGACCTGTTGTGTATAGTCCTTCGCACCCTAGCCACTCTACCTACACTTTGGAACACATCCAGTTTTTTTTTCCCCCACATTACCTTCTGTAGAGGATTCATCTGATCTTCAATAGGAGTGAGAGCATATCAGTGATTCGGATTCCAATCCAATTGTTTTCTCTCTCTCTCTCTCTCATGTTTTGGTCGTGCTCCCACCCCTCCCAGTGTTTTCTGTTGCAATCTCCTATCAGTATAAGGTGTTCTTTGGATGCTTTCGAAAGGTGCTTTTTTTATCCCTTGCATCAATCCCTTCACCTTTTCAATGTGGGATTCTAGTTACATATGTGAGATGTAATGTACTGTATCAGAAGTTTTAATTTTCCAATACTTAAAATATATTTCAGATAGGTACTTATCTCCTCTCACACTTCCCACCCATCTTCCCACTGAAAACCAATGCTTCCTTTTCTGCCTAAACCCTAAGTGATAGTTTGATAGAATCTAATAGAGGGAGTCACATGCATTAGGAGGGTGACACACTTCTATTGATTGAAGTTTGTAGCATGATGATTCGCATGCGAGACCATAATCATGGGGTACATTGGAGTGCAAGGCTTGTAGCATACGAAAAAATTTTTGCATATAGAGGACAGCACTGAATGAGAATAGCTATATATGTGAGAGGAGGAAAGTAACTATAAAAAATATATTTTTAGTATATGAAAATTATATTGTTCAAGCAAGGGCCTGAAAGCTGCAAATATTTTGCGGGTCATGGCTAATATATATTAATGCTAGTACTGTTTCTCTCTCATGTTCTGGTGAATGTGCTTTTTCTCTCTATGATTCTCAGCTGTGGAACTATTGTATATTATATGCCAGTATTAATGTGGAGCTTATTATTATAGTTAGGTGCAACTATATTGTAGAGATGTGATAAAACAAGTAAATGCTAGTTTTGTGGGTAAACATTGTTAGATGCTCTGATAGAGGTAGAAACAAGAAGATTGTGTAGTGAAATTTATAAGAAATAATTTATTTAATTAATTGTTTTAATTAACATATAGCATTATATAGGAAGATGAGATATGTATGACTCCAAATACATAATGGAAACCTTGAGAAATACAGCAGACCAAAGAATGTTATAAAAAAAAAAGGACACTAATTAGCAAACCACATTACCAAATAAGGATAAGACAAACTCAAAACACATTACATGAGTTAGCTGGATACACATTCCAGGCCTTGACCCAAGAAGTATGGAAACTAACAGTTATGAATACCAGTGCCAAACAGATGCAATTCCATGAGAGAAAGCAACAAATGTTTATATTAGAAACCATCATGTGTATAAAACATGTTTTCAAACCTGGAAACATCTTGCTCCAGCCAATCTAGACCTACTAGGACCTGCTACTATCCAGAAATCCACATAAGCTGTGTTACAAACCCTTGAGGGGATTTGTCGCACCAACTTTGTAAGTATAATAATGCTATCTCTGTTCTAGTCTAACAGTTTTACTTTAATAATGTACAATGTCTGAAGAGAAGAAAAGTGAAAAACGTTAATTGTATTGAAGATTTAATAAGGCTAGTAAAATATATTGAATTGCTAAGGGATATATTGGAAGATTTATTATAATTGTATAAGACAGTGGTTTCCACATTCTGGTCCACGAACTCTTTGGGAGTTTGCAAAATGTTTCAAGGGTTTATTGGAAAAATTCTGTAATGGTAAAAGGAAAAGTGTTTGCGTGCTAAAGTTTCAAATTTATGCAAAAATGAGAATTGGCACTTTTTTTTTCACAAACTATGAAGGAAGTGGCAGACATTGTGGACAATTAATTTGACATATGCATAAATAATTAATTAAACATAAGTACAGAAATTCAAGCCTAATAAAAGTAACTGACAACTATTTTGGTTCCTTGGGGACCGAAACAAAGGTCATTGTATCCAATGTAGCAGCAGTGCAGTGATTCAGTTGGTTAGTCTCTCTCAGTGGTGTGCTGTTTTGCTTTGGCAAGACTTGAGTGAACGTTCTCATTTACAAATTTGTTTACTTGTTAGTGTTCTCAGTGTGTTATTTTTTTACTTGAACTGTTTTACAGTAATGAACAAGTAGCTGAAAATGGGAAGTGTAAGGATGTGAGAAAACAAACAGCGAACATCAGCTAGTGTTTTGTCAGGTCCAAAATGTGAAAAAAATCTAAGTCAAATGATCAAGATGATCCCAGAAAGTCACTTATTAAGAAAAGAAAGTATGATGACAGTTATATAAAATATGGCTTTGTATGCCTTAGTGATCAAGAGTATTCAAAACGAAGGTGCATAATTTGTGGTGATGTTCTAGCAAACAGCAGCCTCAAACCTCCTCTAATTCGGCACCACTTAGAAACTAGACACTCCACACAACTCGAAAATTGACAAGCATTAATATTTTGAAGCAAAAATTAGTCAAGTAGAAAAGTGGCATTCTCAGTTTTGTATCCAAAGCAAACACTTAGAATGAAAATGCACTTAAAGTGTCATACTGAGTGAGCTCCGGAGTAGCAAAAGCTTCAAAAGCCCATACCGTAGCAGAGAGCTTGATTGGGCTATGTATGAAAGACATAGTTCAGTGTATGTTCAGAGAAAAGGCTGCAAAAAAGATTGGCATGCTACCTTTGTCCAATAATACATTGTTGCAGATAATTCATAACATGTCAAGTAATGTAAAGACCACAATTGTACAGAGGGTGAAACATGGTTTATATTATACTATACAGATGAATCAACTAATGTTTCTAATCTATCTATTTTGCTAATGTGTGTACTTGATGTGAATGAAGGTACGTTTGAAGAACACTTTTTGTTTTGCCATCCATTTAAAGAGCATACAACTGGAAAAGATATCTTCAATCTGATTAATGAATATTTTCAAGAAACTGAAATAGATTGGTGTTGTTCCTCTCAGGTTTGGAATATGTGGGCTGGGATTCTTTAACATTAGGTGTCTGTTACTTGTTGGCGATAAATTCGAACAATAAACGGACAGCACACAATCCACTTGTTTTCAAACAATATATTCAAAACAAGTCAAACATATGTACAAAAATGCTTTACACTGTAGGATATCACAGTTGTTTCTAAAACTCTAAATAATTCTCTTTTTTTCAGTTATCACAATATAATTAATTTACTTGGTTACCTCATGGGTTAACACAGTTGTATGCAGAGCTTTAGATAGTTCTTCTTTATGGTAAAAGTCCACACAGGCTAATTCAGTTACTTTAGAACTCAAATGACAAGACTAATTATTTTACTCAATGTTTCTTACTGCACAATCTGCAATAAATTCACTTGTGCTACCACAGTTGTATCCAGAACTTTAAATAATTGTCTCATTTTTTGTCAAAGTCCACACAGGCAGGTTCAATTACCTTAGAATGCACTTTGGCAATACAAATGATTCTCCAACAGTTATCTAGGCATCTGCACTGATGGGGGCCACATCAATGATGGGGAAGTAGCTCAAACATAAAAAGGTTGCATCAAACATGTCTTGGACTTATTGTAGTATCTATAGGCAAGCTCTAGAGGCATAATGCATGCCTGAGGGACTGGATTAAGTGCTGGACAATGCAATGAAAATAGTGAATTTCATAAAATCACAGCCAACAACTTCCAGAATAGCTCAGGCACTTTGAGTGGTGTGCACAATTGTCTGTTGACCCATACTGAAGTTAGATGGCTCTCATGGGGCAACATCCTTGTGCACTTGTTGAGATCAAAGCAGAAATCTTATTTTTTTCAGCCGCCCCTTCCACCTCATCAGATGTATGGAAAATTGTTTGGCTCTAGAATCTAGCTTATTTAAAAGACATTTTCTCAAGGATCAGTGACCTATATTTATCTCTTCAAGGCCTCAGTATAACAGTTTTCAACATGCAAGACCAAGTTGAATCTATGATAAAGAAGCTGTAGTTCTGGGAAAGGTGTTTGGAAACCAACTAAACTGGGTGTTTCAGTACTCTTCATGACTTCCTGGCAGAAAATTAATTTTGGTTGGATCAGTGCATTCAAACCAACATAACAGCACATCTAAAAGGACATTGTACAATATTCAGGAAATAGTTTCCAGCTATGTCAGACAATAATGACTGGACTCACAACCCCATTCATAATATTGCTTTCTCATTGCAGATACTGAACATGGAGGAAAAAAAAAGAAATTGACTGAGGTCTTCTGTGATTACGAACTGAAAAGGAGTTTCAGAAGTCTGTCGTTGATCAACTTTTTGGCTGAGTTTAAGAAATATGTATCCTATGCTGGCAGAAAAAGCTACCGCAGTTTTGTTACTGTTTTCCACAACATAGTTACAAAAAATATTCATTTATTAGTTAGCCAGGCCATATTTTTTGTTCAACTTGGGGCATGATAGTGTGGTGTAGCTAACTATGGATGGATATTTGCTGTAAAATTATTATCAATGCTTTAAGTGTAGCTGTCAGTTTGGCCATCAGTTTTGATTTCATTCCTTTAAGTCACACACTGTATCCTTTTTTGACCACACCCTTTTTTTCATGCCTAAGGTATTTTTAATCAGATATTATGACTTTTTGTCAATACACACCAACAAATCCCAGCAAGTAAGAAAGTGCCACTCAGTAGTAACCAAAATTAACTTTAGGATCATAATCCTATTATTTGGAGTAGACCTATACTTTACAGAACAAACCAGATTCCTTAAAATATGTGGTAGTAATTTTCCTCTCTAAAACAGAGTCAATAACATCCTTTATAGTAATGCCATGGAATCAAGATTAACAGTTTCTTGTCATCACCCACATGTACTTGGTATAGCTGTATCAAGCATCATTATTTATGATAATTGCATAAGCTAATTTCACATGACACTAAATGCTCTTTAATTAGGATAATTTGATAAAATTTAGCAAATTTGTGCATATAAGTTGGCAATGAATAATAACCATCCACCCATATGATTCTTTTGAAAACTTCAGCTAGAAACTGCTAATCTAGTTTGCTTGGCCTAACACCAATATTTATGCATCTGCACATACTTTCACCCTATAGTTTTGCTATAAATCAGCTGTATTTAATCCAAGTGACAAAAACTAAAAACATTCCACTTTTACTCTTAGGTGAAGCTGAAGTAAAACTTTTAGACCCATAGCTCAAGTGAGTTTTTGCATGAGTGGTTTTGGTTGAATAACTTTGCACATGTGGCTTATATGTAGACCAAATTTGACACCTAATTGTAGGATGTAAAGATCTGTCAGTGAACCACATTTGAAAAGAATCCATAAAAGTTAAGTATGTTTTTTAATCAAATAAAATTTCTGTACTTTCGGTGCAAAGAAGAAATTCAATCAGAATTGGACATTTTATATCTCCTGTCTTTCTTAATGGATTGCCTTGAAATTTGGTATGTGAAGTAAGGGTCCAGTAGAGCACATACACTGAAAATATTTTTGTTTGGCTTTTTGTTTTTAATTTTTTCTTTTGGATGGAATATACAAGATAGTTTGCAAACATAAAACTTTGAAAAGATGTAATATGATCTATGAATTCATCGTAATCATCATTCAATTACAATTTTTTTTGGTAATGTTTTATTAAAGCAATTGAAATAAATGTATGATGCTTCATAATTATAAATACTTCTAAATGTGTTTCAAAATATCCACCATAAAATTGTGTGTATATATATATGGAAAAGTTTTTGTTTTAAATGAAACAAAATACACGATTGTAATTAGAAGCTTGAGCTATAGTTAAATTTTTGTCGTGAATGTTGCCTTAAAACTTCTTTTCTCATCCATTTATAGAATTATGCAAAAGTCATTAGATTTTTCAGTGGTGAGCCATGTTGGAAACCCAATAATAGACCATCTGATGACCATCCAGCAAGACAGAAGTACCTGAAACAATTAGCTGAAGGATTTCATGAATGCCCTTTATAAAAACCAGAAATTATTTTTATTTGAATTAAATGATGATAAAAATAGATTTCACATGTTTTATTTTTCTTACTAAGCTTCAGTTTTTAATGCAGTTTTTATAATATGTCAACGAATCACTTAAAGTCAGTTAGAATAAACCTTTCTTTCAGTTATGTTACTTATAAAACTTCAGTTAAGTTACATAAAAAAAAGAAACATAATAAATAATCCTTATTAAGTATCAAAGCTATAAGTGTGTCATGACTAACTAAATAGTTTTGAGTTTTGATTGGGTTAAGTATGCATTTAAATTTGATTATTGATTTGATGTATTTTTAGACATGCATCCATCTTTAGTCTTCTATTTAGATATGGTTTTGCTTAATGTTTCTTGAAATATACTTAACTGTTATTCCTTAAATTTGAGTTTTCCTCACAAATTGTTTGTCTCACTCACAACCTTTCATTTATAATTTCAGTAAGTGTCTTCAGATGTTCTAAGAATCCACTTCCCCATAATCAGTGAAGTGAATGATTCATTACTACATATGTTATGAGCCTATGTTAAATGTAACTTATGTTCAAATATCTAAACTTGGACCAATATAAATAGCAAAGTACTTTTTTTGTAAAGAATTTTAATAGAACTGTTTGAGCTGTAACAACATGCACAAATCAGTATGTCCAAATCTCCCCAGATTAGTTCCAAACTTTGATAACTGTAGTTATAATACCAGAGCAAACGCTGAACTGAGCATGGTATAGACAGTTGATCAAAACATGCAAAATGTTTGTTTTTTTTTTTCTGTGTTTTGACAATTTCTTTTTTAGATTTTTTAAGATGACAGCAGTTCATACATAGCTACTCAATACTATTTGGAATTGGTTTTGTAACATGACTTTTGCATAGTTCAGTTTATAAGGCTTTATCAACGAGAAGATCTGAATATAATGTAAAAGTATACATAAGTGAAAATTATAATCATGGACAACTTGTAGGAGATGACCAAAATATACACAAAAGATTGTTTTTGTAAAATACTAAAAAAAAGCATAAACATTCTCCATACTTGTTACTGCAATATAATTAATTTTTATAAAACGTTCCTAAAACATTTATTTAGATTTAATTTTCAGAAGAAAAATTAATAAGCATTTAGTCTCGGAGATGATGGGCAGTCAGCTAGTGTAATGATAAATAACTGAAATATTAATTAAATAAGCATTAAAACACTAATGTTTAAGATTTGTAATGCACTGCACAAAACAGTTAAAGATTAATTTATAACATCTTAGCTATGAAAAGACATAACTACTGTTATAAAATAATTCAATCCCATATTAGTCCATTTTGTGGAAAGAGGTACCTGATGATCTATCCTGATTTGACATGCAAATAATTAGTTATTCAGAACATGCTCATCATAATTATTTGATAGAAGTTGCTTTCAGATCAAGACATTTCAGCATGGACTATGATCACCATGAAAAACAAAATCATTCTGGTACTTGTATTACTTGCTTAAAACTATAAAATATTGATAAAGTTGTAGTGTACATGTACTCTCAACTAGTTTAGCCTTGCCTACCCCGTTTTAAATCTAGTATCCACCCACTTTGAGATTCCAAATGGATAAAAAAATCGATTACAAATAATATATAGAAGTTAAGCCCCAAAATAATAATAAAAAATTAAAATATCATTCTTTCTAGAAAATTTCTAGGGATGAATATTGTTACGTCTCTGTTTGTTAATTAATTTTCCGTAACTTCGTTCCGACTGAAATTTTAGCGACACAAGTCCTTACTTAATAAAACTGGTTTATTCTTTCTGAATATAACTTTACCGATACACTTATTTTCAACAGTCGCTCTATAACAAACGTTTTAACAACGAACGTTAACTTCAACAATACTTCTGACTGCAGTTCAATTACTCACTACCCACACACACATTATTCCGTCACGTTGTCACCCTCTTATATATATACCAGACTACCCTATATCTAGTAATCTCCCGACAATTCATGAAGGAACAAGATAGTTCTAGAAACGTCACATAACCTCGCTGATGCAACAATATGTTTACTAGCTAGTATTCGTAAAAACCGCCATTTGGCAAACTCCTTTCTTGGGTCTCCTTAGTAGCGGTTAATGCCCTTTTCTCATCTACATATTTCGAGGGCACAATTTGAGCTATATTCCAGTGCTGAGCTGCAGTACTACTGCATTACTTCTTTTTTTGTAATATTTATAAATTTTATCTCTGTGTTTAGTATCATTTGCCTTACAGATCGTTTATATATTTATGCATGAAGGTAAACGCTACCGGTAATTTACAGCTGATTTTGTAACTAATAGGGGGATTATTTACAAGAGCTTCAACGGTGGCTTCTTCAGGTGGCACGTCATCAGCAGCATCATTTGTTCTGTTGTCCACTTCATCGTAACTGAAATGTCCTGGACCGTGATAACGCCAAAGCCTGTTGGCATGCGCCACTTTTGGCTTACCTCGCCGACCACATTTTATCCGGAAAGTCACGTCTGAGAGACGATCCACTATGTCATATGGGCCTTCCCATGGAGAAGACAACTTAGGAGACTTCCCTTTGGTCTTTCTGGGATGAAACAACCATACCTTGTCTCCTGGTACAAAGCTGACTTCAGTAGATCTCTTATCATAAGTTAACTTCATTGAATCAGCAGACGTTTTCAAGTTTGAATGCACTTGATGGTGGATATCATCTATACTTTCCGACAACACTTTCACAAACTCTGAC